GTATCTTTACGATACTGAACGCTGCCGCCTGGGCCATGGATTCTTGTCCTGGTATAACTGTTTTTCCCTTAAATCATGCTCTGCACTGTGTCTGCTCTAGGCATTCTTCCAATTATAAGCTGCTTATTCCTTAATTCATGCTCTGTACTGTGTCCGCACTAGGGACTCCTCCAATTATGAACTAAGATATAATTATAGGTATATATGGAGGGAATATTCTTTAGGCACTCATACTGTCAACTATTATATGATTATATATAGAGGATTATATAAAGGGATTCTTCAAGCCCTATTTCTATAAACTAATATATGATTATATAAAGGATTATATAAAAGGAAATAGCTGAGTAGTAACACTATAAAGTGAGATATTCCTCAAGCCCTAACTGTGCCAGGGCTCTGCTTAGCTCTCATTCCTCGGTGCCTATATGGGGGGTTACCCACAAGGCTGGTCTCGAACTTCTGACCTCAGGTGATCTGCCGGCATCAGCCTCCCAAAATGCTGGGATTACAGGCATGAAGCCCTGTGCCCAGCCACTTTTTCTAATTTGCTTTCAACAAGGTCTCACTCTGTCACCCAGGCAGAAGTGTAGTGATTCAGTCACAGCTCACTGCAACCTCCACCTCCTGGGCTCAAGCAATTCTCCTGCTCAGCCTCCTGAGTAGCTGGGACTACAGGATCACACCACCATGCCTGGCGAATTTTTTGTAATTTTGGTAGAGATGGGGTCTTACCATGTTGCCTAGGCTGGTCTCAAACTCCAGGGCTCAAGTGATCCACTCACCTCACCCTCTCAAAGTGCTGGGATTACGGGTGTGAGCCATCACGCCCGGCCAAGTGCTTCCTGTATGTGTTCAGCATTGTTTTAAGCGCTTCACATGCACTAAGTCAGTGAATCCTAGGCCGGGCGCGGTGGCTCAAGCCTGTAATCCCAGCACTTTGGGAGGCCGAGGCGGGTGGATCACGAGGTCAAGAGATCGAGACCATCCTGGTCAACACGGTGAAACCCCGTCTCTACTAAAAATACAAAAAATTAGCTGGGCATGGTGGCGCGTGCCTGTAATCCCAGCTACTCAGGAGGCTGAGGCAGGAGAATTGCCTGAACCCAGGAGGCGGAGGTTGCGGTGAGCCGAGATCGCGCCATTGCACTCCAGCCTGGGTAACAAGAGCGAAACTCCGTCTCAAAAAAAAAAAAAAAAAAAAAAATCAGTGAATCCTATGATATCCATATAAGGTAGGCACTGTTATTGTCTCCATTTTGCAGATGAGAAAACTGAGACACAGAAAAGTGACTCCAACAATGTCACACAGATAGAAAGTGGCTGAGTCGGAGGGTGGGCACAGTGGCTCACACCTATAAAACGGCACTTTGGGAGGCCAGACGGGTGGATCATTTGAGGCCAGGAGTTCAAGACCAGCCTGGCCAACATGGCAAAACCCCGTTTCTACTAAAAATGCCAAAATTAGCCAGGTGTGGTAGTGGGCACCTGTAGTCCTAGCTACTCGGGAAGCTGAGGCAGGAGAATCACTTGAACCCGGGAGGCAGAGGTTGCAGTGAGCCGAGATCCCACCACCACACTCCAGCCTGGGCGACAGAGAAAGACTCTGTTTCAAAAAATAGTAACAATAAGAAATTGAAAGTGGCCGAGTTGGAACAGAAATCTGGGTAATCCAGAGAGCCGCTGTAATGCAGGACCTTATATTTGGAAATGTCAGCTGCGGTGCCGCCACAGGAACTCACTCAGTCCACGTGCGAGAGTGAGCTTTTGTCTCTCAGCTGCAAATCCGCCCTGGTCTCAGCTCTGTGGTGCTGGGGCGGAGCCTCTGCAAGCCACGTTTTTGCTTTGCCAGCTGAGTTGCTGTAAGGCCCCGCCTAACGAGGGCGCTGGACGGAGACCGGAGATTGCAGGAGGAAGCAGGGATTTGCTCTGCCCACTTCTCCAGGCTTCTGAGCGAGCGTTGCCCCAGAACAATGCTCTGACCGCAGCAGTAGCTTTCAGGTTTTAAGTTTTATTTTTTGGCACTTCCATAACCCGTTTCTTTTTCTATTTTTGAGACAGGGTGTCACTCTGTCGCCCAGGCTGGAGCGCAGTGGTGCCATCTTGGGCTCACTGCAGCCTTGACCTCCCAGGCTGAAGCCATCCCCCTGCCTCAGCCTCCAGAATAGCTGGGACCACAGGTGCGTGACACCACACCCAGCTAATTTTTTCTTTTTTTCTTTTTTTGAGACAGAGTCTCACTCCGTCACCAAGCGCCAGGCTGGAGTGCAGTGGCGCGACCTCGGCTCACTGCAACCCCCGCCTCCCAGGTTTGAGCAATTCTCCTGCCTCAGCCTCCCGAGTAGCTGAGACTATAGGCACACGCCACCATGACCAGCTAATTTTTTTGTATTTTTAGTAGAGACGGGGTTTCACCATGTTGGCCAGGATGGTCTTGATCTCTTGACCTCGTGATCCGCCCATCTCAGCCTCCCAAAGTGCTGGGATTACAGGCAATTTTTTTTTAAATTGTTTTTTAGAGACATGTTGCCCAGGTTGGTCTGAAACTTCTGGGCTCAATCGGTCCTTGTGCTCTGGCCTCCCAAAGTGTTGTGATTACAGGCATGAGCCACCGCACCCGACGTCATGACCGGCTTCACCGTCAGCCTCCTGTCACACCAGCGCCACCCAGATAGCCCCTGGCTCTGCTCTGGGTTTCGGTTCTGCAGGGCGGCTGCTTGAACATTTTAGGTTCTGATAACTCTATCCTCAGTCCTGGAGTGAGAGCCGGAGGCTGCACTATTTTTACATGGTGCGGTTACTATTTCTGTGCTGTTTCTTCTCGTTCCTTTCATGGTTTCCTGAGACCTGTGTATTAGTTCATCTCTGTTAAAACATCTGTATAACAGGAAAGCTCCAGGTCAAGTGTGTAGAAATCCAACATGAGTCATCAAGATAGAGAATTTGCACAAATTCCACACGTAAACTGATTTGGAGACCAAAAGTTGCTTAGCTGAAGAGGAGG